ATAATCAACCCATAAATTGTTAAATTCTCTAGTCCCTTGTTACCTAGTATCATCCACCAGACCTGGATTACAGTAAAAACCAGAAAGTTAAAGCAAACCATAAGCATGAAACCATGTAACCTCCTGCCCTTAATAATAGCAGTGGCTTTTCCTAATGCCTTCATTCCAAAACTTTCTTCGACAATAGAAACGACAACAGCGAAGATCCAAATAACAGCCAAATATAAGTAGTAAACGCAAGCAAAAATCCCGAGCAAGATGGCTGCTGACATGGTGGCTTTATTAGCAGACATCAATAAAGGAGCAGCCAATGCCACAACCAAGAACCAGTAACCTATTTGATGAAGTCTTGTATAGAAAGCTGTTACCAGTGCCCTTTTCCATGTTGTCGCTGTCCTTGAACATAGATCTCTCAAGGATAAGGTCTTGTCATTATAAGACATGGCTGATACTATCACTGTTGCAGTGGTGGAGAGGATAGAGATAACGAAGAGAGCAATAAAGAAAGCCATTTGCACTGCCAGAAGAAGGGAAAAATCTTCTCTGAGATGTTCTCCTTGGGCTAGAAGCTGGGATGGATCAGGCATAAAAGAGGTATTATTTGGTATAAAAGGGCTCTGATCAAGTGAAAACGAGCTGGGATCTGGCATGAAAGAATTCATTAAAGTTACAGCCATATCATTAGTTAAGGATTTGAAGGAGAAGTTGAATGACAAGAACAGGATAGAATTTAGGACTAGGGAAAGTATAAATATTAATGAGAAGAGCTTCCCGTTTTTCGAGAGAAGCTTTATAGATTCCTTTAGAATCACCAAGAAACTGAAAAATTCATAGAATTCCATGACACCTTGATTAGAGTTTAGAGCTATAAACAACCTTGTATATGTTCTGATCTGGTTATGTGCCAAACTATTTTATACTTGAGGTCCCATACAGAGAAGTTAGTCCGCGTAGTTGAAAATTGGCAACAACTTGACCGCGTAGTTGACAAACACGACTAGTACTCCAGAGAAAAGTACTCTTCATGCCGAATAGATAATTTCCTGGTAAGTTTCTAGAGATGGTTTATAAATAACATAGAGAGTACAAATACAAATACAAACTGATTATATATATGTTGTTTTTAATAATAATCATGCTAAGAAATAAGAATTACAATACTAAATTAACAGTACCTGCAGAAGACATTTTGAATGCAAATATTAACGCTAGATCTTCCTTTTCTTGCTCTTTACAAAAAATAATAGCCGTCCATGAGACAAATCAATATAAAAACATATGGAGAGAGGGG